AAGCTGAGTTCATCGCCGACAGCGCAGCTGTTCGTGAAGGACTGTATCTAATGGAGCTCCTGCCGGAAGCGAAAGTGACGATGAACCGACACTTCACGTTACTCTTCGACAACCTGAGCGCGATCAAGATCGCGAACAAGCCCGGCTTCGTGAACCGCACGAAACACATCGCACTCCGTTACTTCTTCGTTAAAGACGAGTTTGACAAAGGCAAGGTCAAACTCACGTATTACCCAACTGGTGACATTGCAGCGGCTTTCTTGACCAAGAAGCTGCCACGTCAGAAGTTTCAGCACTGCACCAACCTTTGCGGGATCTCGAAGAAATCCCACGTGGCTCACCTTCAGGAATGAAGGGGAGTGTTGGAATAACCGAAAGGTCAAAGTATCATTCCCGAAGGATCTCCACTCACGCGTCACTTCATAACGAAGTAACGCGTCTGTAGCAGTACCGCAATAGCTCATATAGAGCATGCGGAAGATCGAGATTCACCCGAAGGTCAACAGTCCCTGTCAGTCAACGGTCACGACTGTTGACCGTCCGGCAACCGCTTCAGAGGTTGCGCGATGCAATATGGTAACTATCGAGAATGGCATTACCGTATGGCCCCGGATATAGGCGCCGTCCGATTAAGAGCGCCGGCGCTTCTATCTGGAGCATGATTATAAGCGCCCCCCCTCTAGAGGGTGTACTTATTATAAGCGCACCCCTTTCACGTTGTGGAGGTTTCATTACGAAATATGAACAACAATTAACACTAAACATGAACATGATAAATTTTCACCTACAACATACAGTTTTATAGACACTAACACTGACACTAAACTAGAAATTGCTAAGTTTAGCATTTCTACCTAGAAAATCTACTCCTCCTCGTCGGATTCGGGCTCCTGGCAGTTGTTGCCAAAGAAGCCATCGGCGATGATGGAATCATCGACGTCCACCTCCGCGGTCAGCTGGTTCCGCCTGTGCGCCATGGCGAGGCCGTCCTCACTGCTGTCAAGCGCGTTGCTGATGCCACAGGTGAGGAAGGCGCGCTTGATGAGGTCCGCGGGCACTGTTTTCCAGGCCCGTGAGATCCACCTCACAACCACCTCTGGGGGTGGCTTCTTCAAGTTCCCTATACCAATAGAATCACACAATATTTAGTTAGCGCAACAAATGGGGGGACAATCATCTACGGTAAGATAGGGACTCGCGTGCCTATCATACCTGCTCTGGTTAGCTGTTCTTGGCCTTCTTCCTGAAACCACTTCTGATACTGCTGGCGGACGCTCGCCTTAAAGCTCTTGTTGATGCACGCGTCGAGGGGCTGTATCTCCGCCGTGCAGCCAGACAGGATGATCGCCAGCACACAGTTGAGCTCGCGAAACTTCTCCTTCACCCCCTCAGTGAGGTGACCGCGGTACGAGTCCAGTACGACCATCGAGCTCCGCGCATGCCTCCCGAACCCAGGCTTTAAAAAGGGCTTGACGCTCTCCTCAAGCCATCGTATGACGCCTTCCGCGTCCATCCAGCCATTCTCGTGACACGCCACGACCACATCTGCATAACAACGAAGCTTCTGTAAGTTTCTCGTAAAAAACAGGACCGATGAAAAGCATACAAACAAGAATCATGACTGACCTGGCGGGAACACCCCTTTCGGCATGGTCTTCCGCTTGAAAAAAACCCACGGCTTCAGCTTCATCCCGTCCGCCGTGCACGCCAACATCACGGTCACGCGCTCCTTCTGGTACCCCGCGCTCCTGATGGGCACCGACCGAACACCGGTTTGATCGACGGTAGTGGTGGCGGGCATCTCCAGCCACAGCGGCGTCTGGTCGGCGTTGATAATCCACGTCGTCTCGATGCCGCGCTCTCGACGCTTGTCACGGACGAATTGCCAGAACTTCTTGCACTGCTCCGCGACATCTGCGGTTGAGCACAGTTACGGTTAGTGAGTAACAAGTGCATACACATGGCATAGAGAATAAAAATGATTCTTACGGGCGGCGGTTTTCTGGGCGTCCTTCGTCTTCATTCGCACGCTGAGATTCCACCGCCGACGGAACCGGTCCGACCACCGTTGGCTCCCTTTCCACTTCACGAGGGGGTAGAGAATCTTCATGAACTCCCGGGACCACTCCTGCAGGCGGCCGACGGACACCGCAGTTCCCTTGCGTCGCCAGTCGAGCAGTCGCTCATACACCTTGATCTCCATCGGGCGGTACCACGACGCCTTGCCGCGACCGTGCATGCGGCACCTGGCAGAGTGGGCTTCCTTGAGGAAATCAGCGGCACGCTTCCAGTTGGCGAGGCACTTGCGGTGGATGCCACTCTCGCGAGCCAGAGCGCGCACCGACATCGCCACATCCAGCTGCGCGACCCACTTCAACTTCTCGGCGGCAGTATAGTCCTGGCGCTTGTGGTCGTTGGGCTTGTGCCTGGGAGAGGGGGGGCGAGAATCACGGTTCTGTGAAGAAGGGTGAGGTCGCTTTCGATTACGTGGAGGATAAGTTGGTATCGGGAGTTTCTCGGGGAGGCCATCGCGTGACCAGTATTCGACGCCGTCGTCGTCGTCACCGCCCGGCGCACCCTCGGGAAACACATCCTCAGCAGTGCCGGCCTCAGTAGCGGCCTCGGTGTCGGCCTCAGTGCCACTCTCGGCGCCGGCGTCGCCCTCAGCACGCCAATCTTCCTCGGCGTCTTGCACGTCGTCGTCAGCGCCGACTGCAGATTCGTCCCACGTGAAATCTTCTGGCTGGAACCAACGTGGTGCTGGCGCTGGAGCGGGTACGTCAACATCGGGGCCCTTGTCATAATCCGGTTCCGACAGATACTCGTCGAACGCCGATGGGAGCAGGAGCGTGAGCACAGGGTGGTTGTCGATGTGAGGGGCCACCGGACACGGAGGAGATGGAGGAACAGGAGGAGCAGGGGGAGTCGGAGGCACTGGAGGAGCCGGAGGAGCAGGCGGTGCAGGAGGCGCAGGAGGCTGTGGTGGCTCTGGAGGGTCTGGAGGTATGCGGCTATACCACCCGTCAGCTGTAACACGGTACGTGGGCCTACTGGAAGGTTTTTTCTTGAAGAGAAAATGAGTGCCTCTGAATTCCGCCATGGCTTCCGCAGCCAGGCGGGCGAGAACAAGGAGACTGAATAAAAAACAGCAACCCTGGGTGTTGAAATGGGAGATTGAAGGTGACCCCTTCAGGTTTGTGGCTCGGGGTCCTCGTCGACGAGAAACGAGTACACCCCTGCCCCAACCCGCAGAGGAGGGTTGGGGGCACCATCCATGCTGCGCTGGCACGGCAGATTCCATCACGTTCTGGATGGTTCTGCCGAGATGCTCCTGCCTGGCAGCGCATGCCAACCTGATTGGGCCGCACGGCAGGTTTTGCATCAGCGCTGGCAGGTGCGTTGCACCGGGACGGGTTTTGTGCGGTGGGAAATCGAACCGTGGCAAGTTTCGCTATCATTCCATGCACGACCCCGCGCGCATGGTACAGTGTTGTATTCGCCTTATTGAGGGCTTCAGAATGATATCCCTTACATTGAAATTCAGTTTTGCCTTTATAAAAGCGCCGGCGCTTATGGCCGTTACTCAATTACAAGCGCCCCCCCTAAAAAAAATGAATTTATTATAAGCGCATATGCGCTACTATCCGGGGTATTACGGTAGTTGCAGTTACTGTAGCTATGCAATACAGTTAATTAGGGAATGTACCCCTCATAGTACATGGCTAGTTAGTTTGCTATTTATACCATTGTATCTCTATCTCATAATTATCTTGTTCTCTTTCAATTTTTATCAACAAGGTCATTACAAAGACTTCATTGTCTTCTCCTAGACTTAGCAGACTTATTCTATCCACTACTATCCTTCATTATCACAACACCTGGCATATATTATGGAGGCCTACAAAGATGTAAAGTAGATATGCATATGAAGGGGGCGCAAAGATTGGTAACGTTGGTATCTCACTTTCTACAGCAGTATGTCCAATTAACCGGAAACAATCATTTGGTAAAGCAGCAATCGGACCATTCGCGTTCGGTTGTGATAGCGGATCATCCTTCTAAAACGGCGCGTTTCGCATTCACCCACTTCACTTCACCCTCACGTCCCTTTCGTTTCGCCACTTTCACTGATGCTGCTCACGTGGGCCACACGTGCACAACGAACTGGGCGCCGCCGCGCCATCGCCTACTGCAGCAGAATCTGCACTGTGGATTCCCTGAAATCGGACAGAGACGAGCGGGCCCAGTGGACCAAGTGAAACTTTCTGTTCCCCTCCAAAAACAGTTCTGTTCGCAAAGAACCTGTCAACCATTCTTAACCGTGTAAAATCTGCATGCTCCAAGCACTTTCATCATGTGTGTTTTACCCCAGCCTAATGTCTTCTCGTCCCTCTGTAGTCCCAGCTCGATACGTGTAGTGTAGGCCATCTTTCAACTCTTGGGCGGGGAACGTTGTACAAGCCGTGGCATCCCACACGATACCTTCGTTCCGTGGTATTGCGAACTGCGGTGCGGACGTGAACGACTCGATAGTAACCGCTCGTTCGCTTTCATTCATGGACTTAAACTTAGACCCTCCGCCAGAAGATCCTAATTATATTCCAGGAGGATCTGAATCGGGAGCTACCACGGGCATTGTCCCTAGGAATACGGGGTCTCGTCTGGGAGCCGCTGCATTTCATGATGGGGTTACTGATGACTGCGACGTGGTCGCCGCTGCTTTTCGCGATCGGGTTACGGATGACGGAGGCGACGCGGCGCATCCATCGACAGCTGTTCTTAATCACCATTATCCCGGACGCGTACGGCTCGATGATTTGCAACCTCCCTTAATCTACCGCCGAGGCCAGGCACACCCGGTCGCGGATAGATCGCAGCCGTTCAATGGCGGTATAGACGACGCTCCTTTAAACCACGCTCTGGTAAACGACGGTGCTGACGCTATTGGTGTCAAGGGTTCTCCTCGCGACGATGCCGCCGCTTCTCCTGACCGCACCTTGATGCGAAGCGCTCCGCCGTGTTCGGGTGAGGACTCCGCGGGAACAAATTCCGCGGGGGCGGACTCCGGGGGGGCAGACTCTGCGGGAGCGGAGCGCGCGGAAGCAGAGTGCGCGGGGTTCGACGTCGCGCATCAGCCGTGCGCGCGTGAAATGGCTTTTGAGTTAAGGAGAAGCGCCGTTCGGAGCTCGTCCGACTCGCGCGGTACAGCAGCGCGCGCGTGGAGGGGGAGCGGGTACTTCTCGGTGCTGCCCGACAACCTGTGCGGCAAGATCGCGTCGTTCATCGTGCACGCCAAGAGCCTCGTCGCCTTCCGCTCCACCTGCTCGTACCTCCGGGTGAGCGCAGCCATATCTTTTGACAAAACTAAAAGTAGAAGCACTAGCCATGACACGACAGTATCTCCGGATGGGAGCATTCATGAGTGCCACTGTGTCCACCAGTGGTTCACCATCGACAGCCACTGGGGCTTTAGTCCCCTTTGCCCCTTCCCCCTTTGCCCCTTCCCCCTTCGCTTCCCACACTCACCCCTTCCCATGGACCCCCCCACCCCTCCTCCCCCTCCTCAACTCCCCGCGCGTGTGCGGATGGGCGGGGCGCTGGTGCATCTGGCGGAGAACCCCTCTCACCGGGAGGCAGCAGACGCGGTGATCTCTGTGTGCCACGACCCATAGGCGCCAACAAGCCACACCCTTAGCTCCATTCCTGCATTCTCTTCCCGCTTCCCCCTACCCCCATTCCCCTTCTCCCCTCCCCCTTCTCTTCTTTTCCCTCCCCCACCGCGTCGTGAGGGTGGGCGGGGCGCTGGTGTTTCTGGCGGAGGATTTCCCCCACCGCGAGGCGGCAGAGAGGGGCATCACACAGGCGCTGCTGCATGTATTCCCCTCCACCCCTTCCCCTATACCATTCCCGTGTTCTCCCCCTCCTCACCCCCCGCCCGCCAGCGTGTGGTGCGGGTGGGCGGAGCGCTGGTGTTTCTGGCGGAAGATTTCTCCCACAGGGAAGCAGCGGAGAGGGGCATCACACAGGCGCTGCTGCAGGCCACGGCCGCCGTCACCTCGCTCTACGTTGAAGCTCCGCCCGCCTCTGACCCCTTCCAGGTGAGCAATCTTTAGCTAAACATGTTCAATAGGCCCTCCTTCCTTACCCCTTTTACCCTTCCTTACCCCTCCATACCCCCCACCTTGAGTACTCCTTACCCCACCTCCTTTCCCCCACCTTCTCCCCACCATCCGTAACTTTCCCTGGCAGAAACTAGCTGTGATGACGTGGTGCCTCGTGTCGCGACACTCTGTCGAACCCTCCCCCACCGTTTCCCCTCTTTTCCTCCACTTTTCACCCACCGTCTCCCACCGTCCCCCACCGCCCCTCTCCCCTGACCGTCAGGACCTAGCGGTGATGACGTGGTGTCTGGCATGCCGTGACTCTCTCGAGGAGCTCACCCTCGTTGACGGCACAGCAGATGCCTCCACACGGCGCGCACAGGCCCTCGCTGCTGCCATGGCTGCTGCTGCCGCCCCTGCTGCTCTCTCTGCAGCAGCAGCTCCTGAAGCAGCTAGAAACGGCACTGCTGCTAGTGCCACCAACACCACCACTGGTGCCGCTGCTGCTGCTGCTGGTGTTGGGTTGAGGCAAAGAGAGAGTGAAGGACAGAGCCATGGCATTGAAAACGGGGAAAATACTGATCGAGACAGCAGCGACAGCGACGGCAACGGCGGGGGCGGCGGCGGTGGTGGTGGTGGTGGCAGGAGTGGTGCTGCTGCTGCTGCTGTCACTGCCGCCACACTCCCATCACCCTACCACACCAACTTCTACCGTGCAAACGAGCAGGCGTCGGCAGCCGAGGAGGAGGAAGAGGAGGTGGAGGAGCAGCCGCAGGAGTGGAAGCTGGAGCATGCATCACGCTGCCGCAACCTGCGCCAACTCTACCTCGAGAACGCCGTCTTCGACTGCGTCTCCACGCTCCACCGCTGCTCGCCCTTCGCCTCACTCCTCCACTTAACCCTCGCCAAGGCCGTGGTAGCGGGGGACATGGTGGGGGATTTGTTGGCGTGCTGCCCCCGGTTGCAGGAGCTGACGCTGCTGCTGTGCTCGGGGATCGGCCCGCTTGACTTGATGCATGCGCCGTGTGCTGCGCTGAAGAGGTTTGAAGTCAGATTGAGTAACCGCGCTGCCAGGAAGGACGCCTGCTTGGAGCTGCTCCGGCTGAATGCTCCCAACCTCGAGGTACGGTGCAGCTGGGGTTTGCCATGCTCTGAACCCTAGATCCTGGACTCGAGGGTGTGGAACGTAGGCCCTGTACCATAGATTCTGAACCCTATAACCTGCGCCCCGTGTGCTGCTGTGCTGTGCTCGGGGATCGGCCCGCTTGACCTCATGCACGCACCGTGTGCGGAGCTGAGGAGGTTTGAACTGCGGCTCAGCAACCGTGCCGCCAGGAAGGACGCCTTCCTGGAGCTGCTTCGCCTGAATGCGCCCAACCTTGAGGTATGGCCGTGTACTTCCTCAACCCTTAATCCTGAACCTTAATTCCTGAATCCTATATCTTAAACCCAAACTTTTGAACCCTATTTCCTGAACCAGTATACTGAACCCTAGGGCCTAGACCCTGAACCCCATCCCTTCTCACCACCCCTGTTGCCTACTGCCAGGACTTGGAGATGGAGGTGGACTGGGCGCCGGAGGGGCGGCTGGAGCACGAGCTGTGGGGCGACGTCCGCATCGAGTCGGGGTGGCTTGTTCTGAACCACCTCGTCCATCCTCTTTCCTCCTTTCGTTCCTCCTCTCCATGCTACTGCCTCTTGTTGTTGCTACTCTCAGGACCTAGAGCTAGAGGTGGACTGGGCGCGAGAGAGGAGCAGCTTGTTCTGACGTGTCTCCTCTGGCCCCTTCCTCATTCTGCCTCTTGTTGTTTCTGCCACTCTCAGGATCTAGAGTTGGAGGTGGACTGGGCACCGGAGGGGCGGTTGGAGCACGAGCTGTGGGGCGACATTCGCATCGAGTCGGGGCGGCTGAGGCGCATGTCTCTGGAGCTCGCTGCTGGCTTCCAGTTCCACGCCAACCCCGACGCCTTTAGTCAACTCACCGAGCTCAAGGTACGGTCAAGTTCAAGCCTGGAGGTTCAAGAATAAAGTGCCAAGGTTTCTCAATCACTGTGGTATCTCCCTGGAGACACTCTCCCTGACGTGCTACATACATCGACCCCTCCCCTCCCCCTCTACCTTTCTTGCAGCTGACAGGTGGCGACTGGAGTTGGGGCATGGTGCGAGCCATCTTAGATCTCTGCGCTCTGTCACAAGGAGCCGTTGCTCTCGTGCTTCATCGACCTGCTCACAGCCGCTTCCATCGACACCTCATGTTGCTCCTGCTTGCTCCCGTTGCTCTCCGTCTCCCTATCTCCAGCTGACAGGCGATGACTGGAGTTGGGGCACAGTGCGAGCCATCTTAGATCTCTGCGCTCTCTCTCGAGGAGCTGTCCCTCACGTGCTACAGAGACCCGCTCACTGCCGCCTCCTTTGACCCCCCCTCCCCTTGCTCCTATCTGCTTCCCCTCTCCCTCTCCCTTCCACCAGCTAACGGGGGATGACTGGAGCTGGGGCACGGTGCGAGCCATTCTCGATCTCTGCGCTCTTTCCTTGGAATAGCTCTCCCTGACGTGCTACATCGACCCGCTCACTGCCGCCTCCATCCACACCTCCCTTCCCCCCCTCTTCCTTTCCGTGTTCCAGTTGACAGGCGACGACTGGAGTTGGGGCACAGTGCGAGCCATCCTTGATCTCTGTGCGCTCTCCCTGGAGGAGCTGTCCCTCACGTGCTACATCGACCCGCTCACAGCGGCCTCCATCGATACTGCATCGGCCTTCTTCTCCTCGCTGCCCTCGCTGCGCTTCCTGCTGCTCTGCCCCTCCGTCTACTACGTTATGATCGCCACGCTAGGGGATACAAAAGTCATCAGGGTACGTGTGTGCCATGCTGGAGAACACTATAGTCATTCGGGTGAGTGTCCATCCGCCTGCTGCCTTAGGCTCAAATCCCGCTCCTTGCGGTGGCCGTGGATGTGGCTTCCTGCTGCTCTGCCGCTCCATTAACTACGTTGTGATTGCCACAGTGAGCGACACAAAGGTCATGAGGGTATGAGTATGCATACCAGAGTGGCAATGGGCAGTGATGCCAAGGCCAGGTACATTGTGCGCCCATTGCTGCACTTTCAGCTGATCCGCCCCTCCGTCTCCATTCGTCGTGATTGCCACGCTTGTGAGCACACCCCGTAAACTCACCCTCTCCCACCCCCCCCCAGCTCTCCAGGCACCCAGTTTGGAAGAATTTCACGTGGAGTATCACGACCATGCCATGGCAGTCATCGCCTTCCTCACCGCCTTACTCCTCCCAGGCAGGCTTGTGAACACATCCCTAGTCCCCCCTTCCTCCTGCCCCCAACCCCACCCCAGGCCCCCAGCCTGGAAGAATTCCACGTGGAGTATCACAACCACGCCATGGCAGTAACTGTGAGACCGCTCTCAATCCCCAGCTACACCTTTCAACCTTCCCCATTACCCATTCTCCAGGCGCCCAGTCTGGAGGAGTTCCATGTGGAGTATCACGACCATGCCATGGCAGTAACAGTGAGACCGCTCTCAACTCCCAGTTACCCCTTCCTTCCAACCTTCCCCATTCCCCATTCCCCATCCCCCAGGCGCCCAGCCTAGAGGAGTTTCACGTGGAGTACCACGATCACGCCATGGCGGTCATCTCATTCCTCACAGCCACCACCGCACTCTACCGCGTCCCCTTTCCCCCCCCCACACTCCAGGCGCCCAGCCTAGAAGAATTTCACGTGGAGTATCATGATCATGCCATGGCAGTCATCGCCTTCCTCACCGCGCTCCTGAGGGGCAGCCCCCGCCTGCGGTGCATACAGCCCATGGTCACCGTGCCACAGGAGCCGGGGACCGACCTGCTGGGAGACAAGGACTTCCGGCAGGCCATCGCCCGACTGCAGGCTGAGTTCCCCCGTGTCTCCTTCCCGTCTGTCTGGCAACTGACCTGACTGCACACGCTCAGGCCATTGGTGGTATACCATAAAGCAACATGCAGCAGCCTTGGAAGCGCATGCTACATACAGACCATGGTCACGGTGCCTCAGGAGCCGGACACCGACTTGTTGGGAGACAAGGACTTCCGGCAGGCCATCGCTCGCCTGCAGGCTGAGTTCCCCCGCGTGTCGTTCCCCTCCGTATGGCAACTGACATAACCGCACGCGCTCATGCAGCCTTCTTGGGAGGCAGCTTTCTCGAGTCGAGTAAAAAACGGGTGGGAGCGCTGCCTCAGGAGCCAGCACTGACGGCCTGACTGTCTGACTGTCTGACAATCTGACCTGCTGGGAAACCAGGACAGGACCTAGGCTGCTGTGGGCCAGCCATGGCCCGGCTACGGGCTGATGAAAATGGGTCCTGTTACTATCACGCTGGATCTCCACCCATCTGTTTCTTGCGTAGGCACTGTTAAATTATTTGTGTACTGTGATAATTATGGAATCTGTGCTTCCCTACACATCTGAGAAGGTGAACTGCTGCACTTGCTGATTTAGTTTTGAGACGTCTCAAAACTGAGAAGGTGAACTGCTGCACTTGCTGATTTAGTTTTGAGACGTCTCAAAACTGAGAAGGTGAACTCCTGCACTTGCTGATTTAGTTTTGAGACGTCTCAAAACTGAGAAGGTGAACTGCTGCACTTGCTGATTTAGTTTTGAGACGTTTCACACTGGCGAAGACTCAGTCGCTTCCGCGCTTCACGTCCCCGTCAACGCTCCTTAACGACATCCTTAAGCGCCACCTCGCAACGATGGCTCCGGTCAACCCGGCACTGAACCACGACAACTCGAATATTTCAAGCCCCGGTAACGCGGCGGAAACCTAGACTCCGGCCCGGAAAACGCCCCGTCAAAGAAATTTCAAGCGAGGGACCTTCGGCGGTCGACCTCCTGCTCGGAGGCACCCTTCGGACCCCCACTGAGGAACGTGCGACTGTTGTACAGTCGCACGTGACTGTTGCTGAAGAGCTCGTCTTGACACGGCAGCCGTCTTGACCGCCGCTGACGTAGGTGCCATCCGGGCCCACGACCCAGAAACGCCAGCGCGCGGCACCCTCCGCTGACATCACGCCGGTCAACGCCCCCCCCCCCCCCCCCTTTGACTACGCAGCACCTGCAGGCGCTGCTCTCGTTATTGCAGCAGCACGCGCCATCGACTACAGCTACATCGACCGAAGATATTTTTGCTTCCGCTAAAATTGAAAAGCAGAAGGAACCTGTCGCGCCCCCTCGCTCCACCAAGGTCGCTCGCACCAACAACGCTGCTCCTCCTCCCGCCCCGGCTCCGGCACCAACCCAAGCCCGTATCCCCGACCAGAACGACGACTCGGAAAATGGAGACGGTGAGGCCCCCGACAACCTTGCTCGCCGTCGCATTCTCGCACCCGCACCCCCCCTCCCCCCCCTCAACCCTACACCCGCAGCTACTACCTTCATGCGCAAGGGAGTGCGTGACCAGGCGGAGGTGTTCTCTGCAATTCAAGCTCACATGAGGCACGTCGAGTTCAAGCTCCAACATGGCGATGTCGAGGGCGCGCTCTCCAACGTGGCGCAAGTCGAAACGTCGATCAACAAACGTTTCGAGGTGCTCTTGGTGGCGGATGAGGCCGGTTTCGAGGCGGCGATAAGAGCGTATAAGATCATAAGGTAGGTAGCCTTTTGCTACCTCGAGGCCGGTTTCGAGGCGCGGTTCCAGCTGTACCAAGCCAAGAGTGTGCTCACGTCCCGCTCTTACAAGCTCGCGGTAGCCGACGTGGCGGCCCTCAAGCGTGCACGCACCGGCTTCGCCCGCGGAGGCCGCCTTCCCCCTCGAGACGGCGAACCGGAAAGCAAAGGCATGCCGCCCGCGGGCTGCCACGAGCCCCGTTTCAAGGGAGTGTGTTTCCGTTGCGGCCAGCCCGGCCATATGGCAAATAATTTCCCTATGGGAAGGCGTGGAGCACAAGGTCCTGCACCCGTGGTGTGAGAGGACCCATGGAGCGGCGCCCCTTGCCACTATGCCGGGGGGCGTAGGTGGATGCACCGGTGGTGCGTAGGCTGGTTAGGCCATGAGGGCCAGGACAAAATGGCAGCCGTAGGGGCTGGTTATGGTGTAGGCCTAGGCTTGTATGCCTTTGTGTGGATTAATAAAAGAATATTGTTATAAACAGAAAAAAGAAAAAAAAAGGGAGAAAGAGAGACAACAAGAGGAGGGAGGACGGATGGCACGGCAAGTCAAAAGCCAGCCCCCTCTTGAGGAAGGCAGCCATGGAGGAAGAATTGGCCAAGTGTGAATTACGAAGCAAGGACCGAGAGAAGCAAAAAAAAAACACACACACACACACACACACACGGAATGAGGGAGAGGAGAGAGAGAGGAAGAGAGAGAGAGAGAAAAAGAGAGGGAGAGAGTGAGGGAGAGAGAGAGGAAGAAAGGGAGAGAGAGAGAGAGAGAGAGAGAGAGAGAGAGAGAGAGAGAGAGAGATAGAGGGAGGGAAAGAGCAAGCAAGGGAGAGAGAGACGAAGAGCGAGGGAGATAGAGAGAGAGAGAGAGAGAGAGAGAGAGAGAGAGAGTGGGTGAGTGAGAGAGAGAGAGAGCGAGTGAGAGAGTGAGAGGGAGAGAGAAGCCACGAAGAGATCGTGATGAACAAGGTTGTGGGACCAAGTGACGCACATGCGCCGATCTCGTTGTAAGGCAATCTCCAAAAAAAAAAAAAAAAAAAAAAAAAACACACACACACACACATACACAAAAAAACCCCTGCAAGGACATCATGGCTGACGAGTGGTCAAGGAAAGTGTTAAAAAAAAAAAAAAAAAACCGGGGGTGCAGGGAGGCGCGAAGGCGGTAACAGGCGACAGGCGAGCGACATAGTTTGCCCCACAAAGCGTCTCGATAAATCTCGCGTCTAATCGACCTTGGTCCTCACCCCCCCCCCCCCACAACCTCGGTTGCCCACCAATTGCAGAAGTGGAAGGCGAGTGGCAGAGTACTCACTGGGACCCATACGAGACCAGAAAATGCAGTGGTACTCTCAGGACACTCCGAGTAAAGCAAAGATCCCTTATTGGCAGAGATTTCGCACCTTCTGTACCCAAGTCAAGCTCGAGTTCCTATCGGCAAACGACCTGACGCTAGCGCTGTATCTCATCCATGAGCTCAACAACAAAGCAACTCTCTCCGCGATCAACCTCACATGTTCGGAAGTAGCCTTTGCCCATCGCATGACAGGCCAAACCTCCCCTACCATCGGTCCATTCACCCTGCAAGTGCAGGAGTTCGCCAAGAGACATGGTCCCCGGCCTGCAAGGACCAAAGAATCCATATGTCTCCATCAAGTGCACAACATGGCCCGTCCCTTCCTCGAATCATCGATTCCGGCGGAATACCAGAAAGGATTGATTCCTCTTCTCATGTTTTCTGCATTCTTGCGCTACTCTTACCTCGTATCACTCCAATGGAATGATGTACAGTTCGAAGAGAAGGCAATGTGGCTGCTCATCCCGCACTCCAAGACGGACCAAGAAGGGAGAGGTGTCTGGATCCCAGTGGCGGCAATTCCAGGCCCATACTGCCCGGTGAGGTGCACACGCAAATTCATACGCATCACAGGCCTCACAAAGGTGCCACATGGACCGCTGATAATGGTTTTCCCAAAGAACTCGCATGCCACACCAAACGACAACTCGCCATCCTACGTCACGATCAGAAATTGGTGTCTCGCGGCCGGCAGGCAGGCTGGACTGGATGTCGCGCACATCGGAACCCACTCATTCCGCAAAGGTGCAGCCACCGCGGCGGCAAGCATCGGAGTTCCTCACCGACTCTTCAAACGCATGGGCCGATGGCGCAGCGACAGCGCGAAGGAGATGTACGTTACAATCGCGCAGGATCAGCTCATCTTCCTATCCATGCAGTTGCAGGATCCTTCGACGGCTCCCTCCCCCACCACGCATCAGCTATCAATCGAACGGCACCGCCAGCCCCGACTGCACTTGTCTCAGAAGACCCATATGAAATGATAACGCTGCCTTTGCAAGTCAGCCTAAGTAGACTTTCACAATCTGCTGCACTTGCTGATTTAGTTTTGAGACGTCTCAAAACTGAGAAGATGAACTACTGCACTTGCTGATTTTGCAGAGCACTTGGTGCAGTGCATCATCTGCAATGAACAAGCAGTTTTTAGAGGAAAGAAATGGGCGCGCTAGCCTTGGCAAATGGAATTGCAATGCAGAAGGTTTTATTCTTCTTCTTCTTTGTCTCGAAAGTCACCTCGGCATACAGTAGCTATCAAAAACAACTGTGCAGGAATGATTTATTAGCAAGCAAGGATGAGTACAAGTACTAGCTTTGACCTAAAGTGTTGTACTCAGTAGAGGCTACCCCACTACAGCTTACACATACAAATATAATTTGACACACCCCCATAGGCAAATTGGGGGATAGCAAACACAACGAACGGTCACAAGACCAGTCTAGCAAGAGAACAAACCAAAGCAACGCTCAGGGTGGATCTCAAGGACACCATACAATCTGAGCACGAGCAAGTGGCCACAAGGCCTGTTCACATGCAGAGTTATAATCGCAAGGCAATATACTGATCACAACCTAGCAAGAGTAAACAAGCAGGAATAAAGATATATATCAGTGTACAACAAGAGCAAGTCAAGCAACCAACAGGTGAGGCAGAGTGGGCACAAGCCCAAGAGCAGTGCAGAAACGCTGATGATCACCAGAACCAAGGGCCTTGGTGAACACATCAGCAATGTTGGCCTGCGAGGCCACGTAGGAAAGGCGGAGCTGACGAAGCTACTGCAGCTCACGTACAAGGAAGTAGCGAAGAGCAATGTGCTTCGTTCTGTGCTCCAGTCTCTGCTCGTGACACAAGGCAAGCATTGCCTTGTTGTCGACGTACAGAACTGGAGGAGAACGAGGCCCCTCCCCCAAGTCAGTCAGCAGGTAGGTCAGCCAGCGTAGC